TTTTTACCATGCGAATTGTAAACCAAGCCATTCATTCTACATTCACATCTAGATTAATAAAACTGAATCGCCAAAATGTTTCTACAGGCATCACTTCAGAACGACTGCACCATAGTGGATCACTCTTTTTTGTTGTTTTTGTTATTATCAGGAGAGAATTGTGTAAAAGATTATTACTAAATATATAGTATATATATATATATATAATATATATAATATAGCAAAACTGGTAAGATTATCGACCGAAACGTAAAAAACAATTTATTGTGTTGGAATATCGGTATGCGGTCTGTTATTATTAAAAAATAAAACTCTTTTTTCTTTTAAATCCTCTATATTTTCGCTGATTTTTTGTCAGCTTCATCAGGAGACAACTAAAAATTTGAATTAAAGTTATATAAAATTAGTTTGAATAAAAAGTGACTCACTTACAGATTTAGAGTGGAAAGTATTAAACAAGTTGAACATAATTTTGTTCAAAACAGTACTGACAGTTTTTGTTAAAAGTACCTAGTCACTAGTAATTAAATGTAAAAATATAAAAACAGAGCAAACAAAAACAACGAAACAATTAAAACAAAATAAAATTACACATTAAAAATATACAGGGTGATTTAAAATATAATTGTTAAACAGAAAAATTATTTAGACATACTAAGAATATTACAGTAGATAATTGCTCAACTGTCCCGTGTCTGCCTTGTAATATACTGCATAGTTTTTCTCTATTTATATGACACATTTCCAAAAACAATCTTTTTTTGTAATTATTTTCTTGCTGTAAAACCCTGACATTTGAGTAATCAAATTGATGCCAGTTTTTAAATGATGTCAACTGCCGCACATGTGTTCTTCCGTTTTGTGCAGTCACTTTTGTGTTGGGTGACCCTTTGTTTTAGCCATTGAGAAGTTTGGCCAACATAACAGCTCTGGCAATCCAAACAAGGCAGTTTGTAGATAACATTAGTTTTGTTTAAAGTTGGTGTCTTGTCTTTTACTTTGGAAAACAGTTGTCGGTTTTCTAATAAATTGTATTGACAATTTTTATGTTGGTAAATTGTTAAATAAACTGTCACAGAAGTGTTGAACTGTTTTATTAATGGTAGTTTTTATATTTGTTGTTTGTACTGCTCCGATATCAGTGGACCGTCAAAAATGTCAGAGTTAAATATCAATTTTTTAAGATATGTTTGGGGTATCCATTATTTTGAAAGATGTTTAACAGCAAATTTAAGTTTTTGTTTATGAATTTATCGTCACTAATATGCCTTACCCTATTCTTCATTGCAATGACTGTATTAAACTTTGGTGAGTAGGATGATTTGATGATGATTTCAAATCATCCTACTCACCAAAAGTTTAATACAGTCATTGCAATGAAGAATAGGGTAAGGCATATTAGTGACGATAAATTCATAAACAAAAACTTAAATTTGCTGTTAAACATCTTTCAAAATAATGATACCCAAAACATATCCTTAAAAAATTGATATTTAACTCTGACATTTTTGACGGTCCCACTGATATCGGAGCAGTACAAACAACACAATATAAAAAACTACCATTAATAAAACAGTTAACACCTTCTGTGACCATTTTATTAAACAATTTTACCAACATAAAAATTGTCCAATACAATTTATTAGAAAACCGACAACTGTTTTCCAAAGTAAAAGACAAGACACCAACTTTAAACAAAACTAATTTATCTACAAACTGCCTTGTTTGGATTGCCAGAGCTGTTATGTTGGCCAAACTTCTCAATGGCTAAAACAAAGGGTCACCCAACACAAAAGTGACTGCACAAAACGGAAAGAACACATGTGCGGCAGTTGACCATCATTTAAAAACTGGCCATCAATTTGATTACTCAAATGTCAGGTTTTTACAGCAAGAAAATAATTACAAAAAAGATTGTTTTTGGAAATGTGTCATATAAATAGAGAAAACTATGCAGTAAATTACAAGGCAGACACGGGACAGTTGAGCAATATCTACTGTAATATTCTTAGTATGTCTAAATAATTTTTCTGTTAACAATTATATTTTAAATCACCCTGTATATTTTTAATGTGTAATTTATTTTGTTTTAATTGTTTCGTTGTTTTTGTTTGCTCTGTTTTTATATTTTTACATTTAATTACTAGTGACCTAGGTACTTTTAACAAAAACTGTCAGTACGTTTTGAACAAATTATGTTCAACTTGTTTAAATACTTTCCACCTAAATCTGTAAGTGAGTCACTTTTTATTCAAACTAATTTTTATATAACTTTAATTCAAATTTTTAGTTGTCTCCTGATAAAGCTGACAAAAAATCAGCGAAATATAGAGGATTAAAAGAAAAAAGAGTTTTATTTTTTAATAATAACAGACCGCATACCCGATATTCCAACACAATAAATATATATATATATATATATATATATATATAAATATATATATATAATATATATATAATATATATATATAATATAATATTTTATATACGAAAGACCATAAAAACAACAACAAAATAAAATGCATTTTCGAGTGCAGCTTGTACTTGGATTGGTGACCGTTTGGGAACACCGTGACTTGACGACATAGCTATATTTGGTATTGCAGAACCAAATAATAACGATGAAGTTTCATAATATCTGATGGGAAGATAGATATGTCAATGAGGCGGTTTGGAGAATCTGTTAATTTTTCATACACAACCGGCATCCCAATGTAGTTAATTTAGCTGTTCACCTGGTGAATGAACAAAGACTTTATTTCACAACATATATGTATATTGTTAGGTAGATTTGTTATTTTTAGGTAGAAAACCGTAAACTTAGAAAATCATGGTTGACAAACGAAATATTACAAATTATGGAGACATAACAAGATACAAAGAACTCAACAGGGAAATTGAGAAAAAAATAAATATAGCTAAGGAAGAATGGATGAAAGAAAAATGTAAAGAAATACAAGAATTGCAAATGAAGTATAAAGATAGAGAACTACACAGAAAGGTTAAAGAAGTAGCTGGAATATGGACACACAAAACACTTATGGATTGTAACAAAAAAGAAAAACCAAATGGAATGAGATGCTGAAAAACAGAAAGAAATATGGGAGCAGTATCTTAAAGATTTGTTTGGTGATCAGAGAACAAAAGAGCCCCACAAATAGATACAGATGAAAAGTTAAACATTCCTCACCGAAGAAGTTTTGCAGGCAGTAAAAGACGCAAAGAACAACAAGGCACCAGGCGAAGACCTAATAACAGCCGAACATTTTAAACACCTAAGTGATAATGCTATCAGGAAATTAACAGACCTCTACAACATTATGTATAATATATGAAACATGGCATAATACCGCATGACTGGCTAACATCCACATATGTGGCTCTTACTAAAAAACAAAAAGCAAGGAAATGTGAAGACCATCGAACTATATCCCTAATGAGTCATGCCGGTAAGATTTTTATGCGAATAATTTGTAACCGAATTCACAATAAGTGTGAAGAATACCTGAGTCGTTCTCAATATGGTTTTAGAAAGGGTATAGGCACTAGAGAAGTAATTATGGGATTGGCACTAATGGCACAAAGGTATCTTGAGCTTAAAAAACGGCTGTATGTGTGCCTTGTCGATTATAGAAAGACCTTCGACCGCATTAAACACGGAAAATTGATTGAGGTGCTAAAAGAAGTAGGGTTGGAACGACACAACATAGCTATCATAATACATACTGGAACCACACAGGATGCGTTCGAACAGAGAACGGAAATACCAAGTACATCAACATAGAACGAGGAGTGCGGTCAAGGGTGCATTGTGTCCCCCTATTATTTAATATAGATGCCGAACATATAATTAGAGCTTCTCTTAAAGATTGCCCTTAAGGTGCCAAAGTCAATGGTATCATCATTAACAATATAAGATATGCCGATGACACCGTAATATTAGCATAAACAGAAGACCAACTAAAAGTATTGATGAACGTATTATCAGAAAAGTCACAGGCTGGGCTTAGACATTAACTTTTCCAAAACCAAAATTCTGGTAGTCAACAAAAACACATATGAACAAGTTACACCTAACATACAAATAAATGGTATCACAATTCAGAGTTACCAAAGCTTCATATATCTGGGCAAAGAACTAAATAGTCAACTAGACCACTAAAAAGAAATTAAAGACGCATTGAAATAGCAAGATCTGGTTTCATGAATATGCATATCAGTCTCAATTGGATTGAGAACACTTAAGTGTTATGTGTGGTGCGATTACTATATAGCTGTCAGACCCAGACATTAAAACAGTATGACGCCAACAAATTAATTCATTTGAAATGTGGAAGTACTGAGAGCTATAAACACACACCTTCATCTGGTCAATACTATCAAAATTAGAAAGACGTCATATCTAGGACACATAATGCGCCATAGGGAATTTGAGCAGCTTCAGGTAATATTAGAAGGCAAGATTGAAGGAAAAAAGGGGCATAGGACGAAAGAAAAAAATCTTGGCTACGAACCATCAGAAATTGGACCCACACAAGAGGAAATGAATTAATTCATAAAGCCCAGAACAGAGAGAAATTTGCCATATTGATCGCAAACCTCAACAGAGAAGGCACTTAGGAGGAGGAGGAGGTAGATTTTAAGTTGAGTGATCAGTCAGAAACTATTTATTAAAATAGAATTGAATAAAACACATTAAAATAAAATAAAATAGAGTAAAATAGAATAAAATAGAATAAAATAAGAATAAAATAGAATAAAATAGAATAAAATAGAATAAAATTAAATTAAAATAAATTAATTAGCATAAAATAGAGTAAAATAAAATAAAACGAAATAAAATAAAATTAAATACAATTAAAATAAAAATCGTTATTAAGCTTGTTTTTGCCGTAATGGAGTACATTTTGAATATGTCAATTTTGGTACTGATTATTTTGGCAAATACTCTAGTACGCACATATAATTATAATTATATTAATTCTATATTTTTTTTTCAGATTTAGTCCACTGTACAAATGAACCAAATGTTTCTATTCCACAGCTAGCAAATTTATTAATAGAAAGATCACAAAATACAAACTGGGTAGTAGTTTACAAGGCATTAGTTACAGTTCACCACATGATGTGTTACGGAAATGAGGTAATGTATAATTTGATTTCTTGTAATCTTTGTATGTATTACAAATTGATGTCCTTATTGGTTATATGTTTGTATTTAAAATATATTTGAATGAAGTTTTGGAGGATTGTAATAAAGTGTAAAGAAATACAGTCGTAAACAACAAATTTATATGCCTTCACAATACACAACACGTCGGTCTTTGACTTCTACCCTGTTCTAAACTTTATTCAGGTCTTTCAGGCGTTTCACTTAAGAGACATTAGAGTCAGGATTACCACAACAAAATTTTTCGAATTCTGTTATGATGTGAATGATTTTTGTATGATTGGGAATGAGCCCATTTTAAAACGAAAACGTAAAACTATCGAGTAAGCAGTCGATAAAAAAGCCGGGTAATAACTTTTGATGATAAAAACTCTTTCATCAATAGATATCATTTTTACTCGAGAATTTTAACTGGAAGACAAAAACCGGAAATGATAAGAACTCCCTTATCATCTGCCCCATTTAAAAACACTGTATTCAATGCTATGTTAAATCTAATCACTTCTTCGAGCTCCTCTGCTAGATATATCGTGGGCGTACTGGGAAAATCCACCAACTCACAAAAGTAAAGTTTTGTGAAAAACGCATTTAAACATTATTAAACTTCTTAAAAATCGGATACACTACATTATTGTATTCATGAAACTGTGAAAAAGTTGAAACATTTAAATCTATAAATTAATATTTATGGGGAAAAACTTTTATAATAAAAGAGAAAATTTTTTTTAATCTTTATATTATTAAAAAACAAATATACAGAGAGTTAAGTTCAAACACTAACTCAGAAAGAATTGTGGTCACTTCTGTCCTCTTCGGTATTACAGTCCTCAACAGCTGGTTCAAGTATGACATCTGTTACCAGTTTTAATATGGGAAGAGGCCTGTACCAACATCGAAATTCATCTGGTATAATCTTATTTTTGCACAATTTCATTAAATTACTCTTTTTCTGAATACTGATAGGTAGCTGTTTTGAAAAGCATGGGTAAATCTTTTGGTTGATTTGTTGGTCTATCCCTTTCCCTTAATATAAATTAAACGGTAGGAATCGGTATGCTTATACTTGTATTGAATTATGCCTGGTTCTTGCTTGAAGTATTTTAAGCTTTTAATTAATAACCAGCTAACAACATTTCTATGTATCTATGTTTTGTACTCCACATGTATCAGGCCAAAATGCTAATTCAGTTACATTTGGAGGCAACTGGGTAATATATTTAAAGAGGCACGTTCCTTTCTCTGAACTTCCTCGTTTGCCATTTACTTCCGTCCAGCAATAATAACTTGCTTCTTGGGATAATTGTTCTATAGTCAAATTCTATACAAATAATTTTCGAGAGTTGTATCAGTGGGCTAAGCATCTGAACTTGATAATCTGTACCAGATTGTAAAATCAAAGGTTGCATACCACAAAATTATTGTCCTAGCAAAAAATATTTATCTGCTTGCTTTGGGCAAGAATAGGCAAAGCTCCTCTCATCTTTTGTAAATGATGCCGAAGAGTCTTATTATCTTACATTTTCAGCTGAAACTGGCTTAAACGTTTTCACATATTAGGCCTGCGTTGATCCTTTTTCTTCGGCATAAAAATGAATAATTATAATTTATCTGGCTCAAAGTATTCGTTGTGTAAGTTCTCAATGACACTGACTGTTGGTTTTTTCATTTCATTTCGTTCTCGCATTCTTCTGTATACAACTGATACATTTTGATATAGACAATTTGCTATCCAAATACTGGCCTTTTTACTGGTCTCGTCAGAAGTAATGCGATTCCAGTGTGGGAAAACTTCTATGTGGTGTTTTACCTCGCGAAACTTCAGGCTTAGTTTTATTGACAGAAGACGATGTCATTACCAACAAAATTTCCAGATGGATCTTTATGTATAAAGGCATTTAGAACAACGCATTTACTAATGTAAAGTGTTTTGAAGAAGAAATACTGGCATATACGATGTTTGTCATAATTTTGCCTCGTCTTTTAAGCGTACTCGCTCTTTCTGTCGGGATGTATAGAGGAGTAATGCCGAGCCGCAAGCCCCCATCTCTCGCCTTACTGTTCATCATAGGTCGATCTGATACGCCAGACGTATTCTCTAGTCTAAGTAGCAGATCTATTTGGGCTTTATACTGTTACCAAAGCGTTTTTTTTTTCTGGCCATAGTTTGAACCATTGACCACTAAATCAATGAGTGAATGATGACCACACCACTCAGTGAGGTGAATGCGATTACAACAATGTATTTTTCAACAATGTATGTTTTACTCCAATTTCATGATCTTCAATTATACGATCCTACAAGAAAAAAAAACCTTACCAACAAAATATCAACTATCGCAGGATTTGTAAGACAAAAAGAAACCTATCGTTGGATGATCGCCAACCTTCGGTAGGCACACAAAGAAGAAAGTATGCACAAATAGTAGGGAAACATAAGAAAACATGAGATATAACAAAGTAAAGATAGGGATGATAAAAGCGACGTGTGACGAATAGTATCGTCACAGCAGAAGAATGAAGGAAGCTGGACCATCGAGAATTGGGTTAGAGGAAAAACCACACAAGGAAGTCGCCGAAGAGATAAAAGGATAATTGGCAATCGTCCTCACAAGAAATATTACAGCTATGAATCGGTATTAACAGATCAAAAGATTTAACACAATATGAAAGGTAAATAAGTAAAGTAATATTAATAAATAATATAAAGTATATAGTGGGGATCCTATCTGCTAATGGAGAGAATTCTGTAAAACCATTGAAAGTGTCACAGAAAGTGCCAGGGTTAACATAATCCTCAAAACATTAATAATTCCAAGTCAGCTCAAGGAGGCGGCTGTAGAGCTGTAACATCATATCTGCAAAGAAGCTGCAATACATCAAGAAAAACAATCTTGATGAAAACCCACTGCACCAGCGCAATGGGCGTATCAAGTAGGCAAATCAGGTGAAATCGGCCAGCACAATCTGGTGTCGGAACTCGAAAGGAGTTTATTTATACCAAACAGAAGTCGTCCTTGTTGCATTTTTAGACATAGAAGGTAAATTTGATAACTCCTCCATCGTGTCAACACATAATGCACTGGTGAGAAAGAAAGTCAACAACACAACATGCAAGTTTATTATTCAGATGCTTCAGAGCAGAATAATATCCACAGATACGTATGAAGATGCCATAAACCTGAGGGTAACCAAGGGGTGCCCTCAAGGGGGTGTATTGTTATGAATATTATGGAATATAGTCGTTGATCACCTGATTCACGGGCTTAATAGCCAAGGAATCTGGGTTCAGAGTTTTGCAGACGACATTGTAATAGTGACTGGGGGAAACTTTCCCTATACTGCGGATCACAAACGATATGCCGCTGCCATGGAGAATTGGTGTCTGAAAGAGATCATCTCTGTGAACCCTTGTAAAATGAAATTATTGGCCTTCACTAATAAGAAGAAGCTTATTGGACTGCGTTCGCTGAAATTATTTGGGAAGGAACTAGAACGAACCAATGAGGTCAAGTATCTAAGGGTAAACCTGGATTCCAAATTCAATTGGAGCACTCATATTAACAATATAACCAAGAGGGCTACATGACTCTTCTAGAACTGCAGGCGAGTTGTAGGTAAAACCTGGGGGTGAAAACCAAAGGTAAATCTATTGATTATAGACATCAGTGATACGACCGACAGTTACTTATGGTTCTGTACTTTGGTAGAAACAGACGGCTTTACCATCTTGTATGACCACTCTCGCCACCCTACAAAGACAAGCGTTTATAAATATAACAGGAACCTTGAATAATACAGGAGCGGCATCTTTAGAGGCTGTCACTGGTTACCCTCCGCTGAAATTATACATTTCGGCTCTAGCCTTTATGACCATCCTGAGATTTAAAGCAAACAATACTTAGAGGCCGAATTATGTATTTAATAGCCACACAAATATTACTGGCACTATACTTGAGGAATTCATCTTTATATTGAACTCAAATGACACAAGAACTAATCTTCACTGAGAAGATTAACACAATTATACCATCTAGAAAACAATAAGTCCCAAACATAAATGGGTACTTAATTTAGTTCACTGATGAATCTAAAACTGTTCATGGTGCTGACATGTAATTATAATAAATCTTATAGCCCACGTCAATATACAACTGTATTACAGGCTGAAGTTCTTGTTTTGGTGGCTTGTATTGATGAAATTATGGATGGAAACCCCAAAGCAAAGAAAATCAGCATTTATCCAGATAACCAATCTGCTATTCTGGCAGTAAAGAACACACTCACCAAATGACAATTGGTGAAGAACTGCAAATATTTATTTAACAATCTAGCAAAAGATAGTAAAGTGTCTTTAAAATGGGTGCTGGATCATGAAGGGGTGCATGGGAATGAACGAGCTGATTTGTTAACAAAACAAGGCTCGAGAGAAACCTTCGTAAGCCGAGAACCATTCTATGGCATCGCTAAAGATACTACAAAAAACGAGGTTCACAAGTGCTGATTCAGAACCATCAAAAGAAATGGAGAGCAAATCCACGCTAAGAAAATAATCAAGAAACTCTCGGAAAATTTGATGAACCTCAATAAACGAGAGATTAAAACGGTCACCGAAATAGTGATTGGACATAGTCGTTTAAGAAAGGCATTATAACGAACTAGTAAGGTGAATAAACCATGGTGCACAATGCGAAATAGACGAAGAGACTGCCATAACGTATCCTATGTCATTGCAATGTCCTAAGGATATGAAGAAGGAATTCACTATCAACTAGAGATTGAACCAAAAGAGATCCTAAAAGTATCAGTGAGGGAACTGTGGGCCTTTGTTGAGGTCACAGGACATGAGTTTAATGGAAAAAACAAGATATAGTACAAAAGTCTTACGATCAAGTGCCAGAGATATAACGAGTCTTCTGAACTAAGAAGAAGAAGAGAGGATAGATTTTAATAATGAATTTCTCATGATCAATGAG